CTAGGCGCGCAGGTTTGCCCCAAGCTCCTAAGGCTAGGCAGACCCCATGCTAGGTGTTTATTTCTAGAGCCATGGTCAAGCCCTCATGGCTGACCCCAATGCCCTTGCTTGACAACCCTAACGCAGGTGTCGCCAACCTAAACTAATTAGTGGTAATTAATCAATACTTTTAATTATAATAAATATCACAATATTTAGAATACAAATAATAATATTTTATCATATTAATAAAAATATTAAACTTGTCTAACTAAAGTTTATAATATTTTTTGCATAATTTTTTTAATAATAATTATAATGATAATTTTTATTATATTTATTTTTTTAATTTTATTCTATTCTTAATATTAATAATTTTAATTAAAATAAAGATAATAATATTTGGAATACAAATAATAATATTTATTATATTAATAATAATATCAAACTTGCCTAGCCAAAATATCTATAATAATAATATTTTTTTTGAAAAAATTATTAACATTAATAATTATAATAATGATAATTATTATTACTTTTTTTCCTTCTCCGCAGGGTCTATTGATCTAGCCACACAGGTCTCTAAACTTAAGGGATATAAGAACAAATCTTGACAGCCAAGTCTACACCTGGCATGTGGGTTTGCTGGGTAGGTGCTCGGGGTTGCAAACTTTGCCTTGAGGGATTACAGACCCACTTACCATGGGGCTGTAGCTAGGCGCGCAGGTTTGCCCCAAGCTCCTAAGGCTAGGCAGACCCCATGCTAGGTGTTTATTTCTAGAGCCATGGTCAAGCCCTCATGGCTGACCCCAATGCCCTTGCTTGACAACCCTAACGCAGGTGTCGCCAACCTAAACTAATTAGTGGTAATTAATCAATACTTTTAATTATAATAAATATCACAATATTTAGAATACAAATAATAATATTTTATCATATTAATAAAAATATTAAACTTGTCTAACTAAAGTTTATAATATTTTTTGCATAATTTTTTTAATAATAATTATAATGATAATTTTTATTATATTTATTTTTTTAATTTTATTCTATTCTTAATATTAATAATTTTAATTAAAATAAAGATAATAATATTTGGAATACAAATAATAATATTTATTATATTAATAATAATATCAAACTTGCCTAGCCAAAATATCTATAATAATAATATTTTTTTTGAAAAAATTATTAACATTAATAATTATAATAATGATAATTATTATTACTTTTTTTCCTTCTCCGCAGGGTCTATTGATCTAGCCACACAGGTCTCTAAACTTAAGGGATATAAGAACAAATCTTGACAGCCAAGTCTACACCTGGCATGTGGGTTTGCTGGGTAGGTGCTCGGGGTTGCAAACTTTGCCTTGAGGGATTACAGACCCACTTACCATGGGGCTGTAGCTAGGCGCGCAGGTTTGCCCCAAGCTCCTAAGGCTAGGCAGACCCCATGCTAGGTGTTTATTTCTAGAGCCATGGTCAAGCCCTCATGGCTGACCCCAATGCCCTTGCTTGACAACCCTAACGCAGGTGTCGCCAACCTAAACTAATTAGTGGTAATTAATCAATACTTTTAATTATAATAAATATCACAATATTTAGAATACAAATAATAATATTTTATCATATTAATAAAAATATTAAACTTGTCTAACTAAAGTTTATAATATTTTTTGCATAATTTTTTTAATAATAATTATAATGATAATTTTTATTATATTTATTTTTTTAATTTTATTCTATTCTTAATATTAATAATTTTAATTAAAATAAAGATAATAATATTTGGAATACAAATAATAATATTTATTATATTAATAATAATATCAAACTTGCCTAGCCAAAATATCTATAATAATAATATTTTTTTTGAAAAAATTATTAACATTAATAATTATAATAATGATAATTATTATTACTTTTTTTCCTTCTCCGCAGGGTCTATTGATCTAGCCACACAGGTCTCTAAACTTAAGGGATATAAGAACAAATCTTGACAGCCAAGTCTACACCTGGCATGTGGGTTTGCTGGGTAGGTGCTCGGGGTTGCAAACTTTGCCTTGAGGGATTACAGACCCACTTACCATGGGGCTGTAGCTAGGCGCGCAGGTTTGCCCCAAGCTCCTAAGGCTAGGCAGACCCCATGCTAGGTGTTTATTTCTAGAGCCATGGTCAAGCCCTCATGGCTGACCCCAATGCCCTTGCTTGACAACCCTAACGCAGGTGTCGCCAACCTAAACTAATTAGTGGTAATTAATCAATACTTTTAATTATAATAAATATCACAATATTTAGAATACAAATAATAATATTTTATCATATTAATAAAAATATTAAACTTGTCTAACTAAAGTTTATAATATTTTTTGCATAATTTTTTTAATAATAATTATAATGATAATTTTTATTATATTTATTTTTTTAATTTTATTCTATTCTTAATATTAATAATTTTAATTAAAATAAAGATAATAATATTTGGAATACAAATAATAATATTTATTATATTAATAATAATATCAAACTTGCCTAGCCAAAATATCTATAATAATAATATTTTTTTTGAAAAAATTATTAACATTAATAATTATAATAATGATAATTATTATTACTTTTTTTCCTTCTCCGCAGGGTCTATTGATCTAGCCACACAGGTCTCTAAACTTAAGGGATATAAGAACAAATCTTGACAGCCAAGTCTACACCTGGCATGTGGGTTTGCTGGGTAGGTGCTCGGGGTTGCAAACTTTGCCTTGAGGGATTACAGACCCACTTACCATGGGGCTGTAGCTAGGCGCGCAGGTTTGCCCCAAGCTCCTAAGGCTAGGCAGACCCCATGCTAGGTGTTTATTTCTAGAGCCATGGTCAAGCCCTCATGGCTGACCCCAATGCCCTTGCTTGACAACCCTAACGCAGGTGTCGCCAACCTAAACTAATTAGTGGTAATTAATCAATACTTTTAATTATAATAAATATCACAATATTTAGAATACAAATAATAATATTTTATCATATTAATAAAAATATTAAACTTGTCTAACTAAAGTTTATAATATTTTTTGCATAATTTTTTTAATAATAATTATAATGATAATTTTTATTATATTTATTTTTTTAATTTTATTCTATTCTTAATATTAATAATTTTAATTAAAATAAAGATAATAATATTTGGAATACAAATAATAATATTTATTATATTAATAATAATATCAAACTTGCCTAGCCAAAATATCTATAATAATAATATTTTTTTTGAAAAAATTATTAACATTAATAATTATAATAATGATAATTATTATTACTTTTTTTCCTTCTCCGCAGGGTCTATTGATCTAGCCACACAGGTCTCTAAACTTAAGGGATATAAGAACAAATCTTGACAGCCAAGTCTACACCTGGCATGTGGGTTTGCTGGGTAGGTGCTCGGGGTTGCAAACTTTGCCTTGAGGGATTACAGACCCACTTACCATGGGGCTGTAGCTAGGCGCGCAGGTTTGCCCCAAGCTCCTAAGGCTAGGCAGACCCCATGCTAGGTGTTTATTTCTAGAGCCATGGTCAAGCCCTCATGGCTGACCCCAATGCCCTTGCTTGACAACCCTAACGCAGGTGTCGCCAACCTAAACTAATTAGTGGTAATTAATCAATACTTTTAATTATAATAAATATCACAATATTTAGAATACAAATAATAATATTTTATCATATTAATAAAAATATTAAACTTGTCTAACTAAAGTTTATAATATTTTTTGCATAATTTTTTTAATAATAATTATAATGATAATTTTTATTATATTTATTTTTTTAATTTTATTCTATTCTTAATATTAATAATTTTAATTAAAATAAAGATAATAATATTTGGAATACAAATAATAATATTTATTATATTAATAATAATATCAAACTTGCTTGGCCAAAGTTTTTACAGTAATATTTTTTTAAATTATTAACAATAATAACAATGATAATTATTGTTACATTTTATTTTTCGTTTTTATAGGGGTCTGTCGATCTAGCCATGCGAGTCTCTAAACCCATGGGCTGTGAGAACCAACTTCGATGGTAAGGTCTGCTGGGTATGTGCTTTGGGTTGTAGATCCTACCTTGCAAGTCTACAACCAATCACGAGAGTCTGCCCTCGGAGTCCAAGGCTGGGTACACCCCACGCCAAGTGTTTGCATGCTAGAAACTTTCCAGTACTAGGTGGCTACAATATGGGGTGCATGGAGATATTTATCGCTTACCCAACACTTAAGCTTCACAGTCCAAGTGTAGGGTATCTGTAGCCCCTAGGGCCATGCCTCTAGCTAGGTGCTTAGGGCCTGCAGCCTGTAGCCTCGACATGTCCCTCATAAATAGTGCAATTTATAGCCTATAATATCTATGCTATAGTGTAAAACAATAGAATTCACAGTAAAAGTATTCATAGCGCATAATAATTTCTGCTGCAGGGAAATATTAATCTCTTTTAGTTAGAATTAATTTTAGTTTGTAATTAAATAATTAAATAATTTATAATTTACATCCATGATTCCTCTTTTTTTTTTTTTATAATTTTGGTAGATGTAAGAATACTAAGAAAGTTCAACTCTACGCAATTGACATTTCATTTGTTGATCATAATAGTAATTAGGTTTTTAATTTTAATATATATTTGGTTAAAATTATTATAAAATATATTTTTAAGTAAAATAAATAAATAAATAAATAAATAAAAGTCATTTTAGTTAGTATAAAAATAAAATTATATAAAATAAATAGAAATTATTTAGCTAATAAAATGATTTTTTCTCTATAATTAAGTGTAATTAATTTTTATCACGAACTCAAGCATGCTTAATCCCTAATCATCGTCCATACCCAACCAAAACGCAATCATGAGTGGCCATAGTAAGGAGAAGTGAACCTGCCTTCACTCTTACACAGTCCCAAATTCCCTATGGGCCGTGAACTCTGCAGTCCACAGAAAGGTTTTTAGCCCACGATTGGAGGCGATGAAGAGGCACTCACCCCCACGGTCAGTCCTTCACTGAAAATGCAAGAGCATCATCATCATAAAACAAAACAAAAAAAACAAACAGATCAATTTCAAAATCAAAACTTTCTCTGCTAATCTCTCTCCCTCACTCTTCCGGAAACTTATCTTCTCGGTCACTATAAGTTTCGTGTTTTTCTTATCTTGGGTATATTTTATTTTCTGCTCTACAATTTGCATTTGATTTCAGTGCAGGTTGGGGTCAGTCTCAGTTTCTAGGGTTTTTTATTCTATCACACTTAACTGATTAGGGTTTCTGCTGTTAATGCAATGAAGTAATACAAAATATTGGTTTTTATCTGCTTAGGGTAGGGTTTTGCTCACCAATGTACCACATTGTTCCTTTTCTCCTGGGTTTTTTTAGATACTTGCCCTTTTTGCTCTTTTAATATTGTAAATTTTATTTTTTCTGTTTTTTGGTTAAATTATGTTGGATAATGGGATAAATACATTGCATGATTAATGGTTTTCATTTTGTTTTTTAAGAAAATAAGTGTTTATTGTGACTTAATTATTAGCTCCCTTTCTTTTGTATTCTTTGACATCAAATTTACTGCAGGGTGGTTATGCACTTGCTTTATCTTTTGCTTTTTTGTTTTGTTGTTGTGCTTAGGTTGTGATATTACAGAATATTGGCATTAAGTGTGATCCTAATTAGCAGAGTGTCGGTCATATAGTTTCACGAAGATGGCAAATTTACAAATGACGGGTATTCTGGAGAAGGTATGGTTTTTATTTTTTTCGGCATTTGAGTTGATCAACTGTGTGGTTGAAGGGCTGGTTTTGCAAATTCTGTGTGATGGTTCATTTGGATCTTTCAGTTGGTGAAAGTTAATTGAATTTATTTTGGGTGTTCTATCAGTTATATTTTCATTTGTTTGGCTTTTCTTGCAGATGACGGGTAAGGATAAAGATTACAGATACATGGCAACGTCTGATTTGTTGAATGAGTTAAACAAGGAGGGTTTTAAAGCCGATGCTGATTTGGAGATAAAGCTATCAAATATTGTTCTACAGCAACTCGATGATGTAGCTGGTGATGTTTCTGGATTGGCTGTGAAGTGGTATAGCTCTCTCTGCAATTGCTATAGACATCATGACATTTGTGTATTTTGTGTTGGCTGAATTCATCCAAAAATATTTAGATAGATATATTTCACTCCTATCATTATATTTCCACATGTTAAGAGTTTGGTCCTTGTGTATTGTATGAACTCTAGTGTTTAGACTAGAGATGATAGTGCATGCTCTTTGCTATTTAATGTATATGTGTACTTTAGCGTTTGAAATATGTGACAATATTGATTTAGCATTTAAGAGTTGCTATTTGAAATTTCCAACTTGGACAAAATTATGGGGTCTTGTGTCAATATTGTGGGAAAGTCACCTTGGGAACCTTTTTTCCTGTTTCTGTGTTTTGTTTGGAGTCTTGTGTCAATAGAAGATGAAAGGGATGCCAAGTAACAGTGTTGCTGCAAGCTTGATTTTTATGTTTTTCATTAATGTGCTGTTGCAGTCTTGCTCCATTGGTGAAGAAGGTCAGCGAGGCTCGAGTTGTGGAGATGACTAATAAACTATGTGAAAAATTGCTACATGGTAAAGATCAGCATCGTGACATTGCAAGCATTGCTTTGAAGACTATTGTATCTGAAGTCACAGCAATATCTCTGGCTCAATCTATTCTTGTCACTCTATCTCCACAGTGGATAAAAGGAATAACAAGTCCTGTGAGTTCTAAGTACCATGTGTCAAGGTTTTGTCATATGGAAGTTTCATCTCCTCTTCTCAATAACTTATTTTTGCATTCTTTTCTGTCACAGGGATTGAACACGGAGATAAAATGTGAATGTCTTGATATTTTGTGTGATGTTCTTCATAAATTTGGAAATTTGATGGCAGATGATCATGAGGTGCTTTTAAATGCGCTTTTGTCCCAACTGAATTCCAATCAAGCCACCATTAGAAAGAAGACTGTTTCATGCATTGGTAAGACTGAGTAGATATTTGTTATGATCTCCCTTGTGATACCATTGTTTTGATTTAATTGTAGATACGCTTGATCCACTCTTGGGCGAAACAAAAAGGTTTATGCTCTGGATTTTGAACCAAAATATCAGAACAGTTGGAAATTTGGCTAGTTCCCAACTATTATGCATGGCCACACTTAAATGTACTTGAGAAGGGTTTTGTTTTTCCAATGCTAATCTTCATTTTGATAAGTTGTTTTACTTGAAATTAAGGTGATAGATTCCTTCAAACCGGCTGTCTTTATGTTTTTTCCTTATTTTTGGCTAATTCACAACTTTGATAAATTTAATTTCATAACTATCCACCCAATAGATTGTTGATCTGGCTTAAAAATATCCTTTGGTCTTCAGCATCTCTTGCTTCAAGCATTTCAGATGATTTATTGGGGAAGGCAACAGTTGAGGTAGTTTGGAAATTGAGAAGTAAGGGTGCAAAACCTGAGATGATCCGAACAAACATTCAAATGATTGGTTCTTTAAGGTAAAGCTATACTGTATGTGTTTATCATATAGTGCTTTCACTTTCCTGTGCTCACTTTTAAAGAAGATTGTGATAAATAAGGAGAAAAACTTAATACTTTGTACTGATGACGATAAACAATTGGCACTACAATGTGTGAGCCAGTCTAATAACGAGATTTGTACTCTGAATGTGTGGATTCTGGCATGCTTATATCCATGTGTAGAATTGGATCTTTGGATGTAGCAAAGGTTTCTTTGGTCAGCTCAGATTACACCTGATCCACTATTACTCATCCTAAAAAAGCTAAAACTTTTCTATCCTTACAAATTGTGTGATATTTTGGTGTTTAAGCCGTGCTGTGGGATATCGATTTGGACCCCATCTTGGAGACACTGTGCCAGTGCTAATTAATTACTGCACAAGTGCATCAGAGAATGATGAGGAGCTTCGTGAATATAGCTTGCAGGTGTTGTTTATATCCCCATCCTTTCTGTTACTTTTATGGTTCTAATTATGTGTGTGTCTTTTGATCATGACTTTTGGTTGTATCCTCTAAATTTTGGCTGCAGGCTTTAGAAAGTTTTCTCCTTAGATGCCCCAGAGACATTTATTCTTATTGTCATGAAATTCTTCATCTTACTCTGGAGTACCTAAGTTATGATCCAAACTTCACTGATAACATGGAAGAAGATACTGATGATGAGAGTCTTGAGGAGGAGGAGGAGGAGTATGTTTAAAAAAAATGCATACCTGTAGCTCATATCAATATACTTCTTGAACTTGTTATTTATCTTGTCAATCGCTTTGCTGTTCTGTAGTGAGAGTGCAAATGAATATACCGATGATGAAGATGCCAGCTGGAAAGTTCGAAGGGCAGCTGCTAAATGCTTAGCGGCATTGATTGTTTCTCGTCCTGAGGTGCTTGCAAATCTATATGAGGAGGTATGCTGCAATAATTTGGGCACATGTAAAGTGATTTCTTATTATGGTCCAGTTTGAGCCTGCTTGAAGTTTTGGTTGGCTGGTTTATGTTTGAATTTGGATTCAAGCTTTTAGGTGGGTGACATGAGTGATGTTTTTTTTTTCAATTTTTGATGTGATATACTCTACTTTTGTTTGTTGAAGAAAATGGTTTATAACTTCTTCATTCAATCTTGGCTTTCTAAACATCATTGTTTTAAACATCCATTTTTCTTTTGTGCAGGCCTGTCCTAAGTTGATTGATAGATTTAAAGAAAGGGAAGAAAATGTCAAGGTAAGCCTTCATCTTTCAACTGCAGAAATTTAGGTACTGCATTTGAGTGCTCATCTGATTTTGTTGTGATGCAGATGGATGTGTTCAATACATTCATTGAGCTACTACGTCAAACTGGAAATGTTACAAAAGGGCAGATTGACATGGATGAATCAAGGCAAGTTTCTGTATCTGTGAAAAAATTAACTTGTGTTAACACTATCCATTTGAATTTCACCCGCCAAATGTTTAGTATTTTCTTTCATTATATATTTTCTTTTTGTCTACCTTGTGTTTCTCTTCTCTTATTTGATTAACGTCTTGGTTTTGAAACATTTTTAGAAAAGAGACATTGCTTTTAAATCAACTTTAAGAGTGTCATTGACATTTATGGGCATACTGATAACCAGAGCTCTACTCTGTCACTATTACTTGAGGCTGGTTGGTCAAAGCTAGTTCCTTCAATGCTGAGATTCTTTATCTAGCTTTCTTTTTTCTTAAGCCTAATAAATGATGTTACCCTGCATCATCCAAAAGGGACAAAATCACAGTTCCTGAAAATGGTAAATCACTGTGCTAAACAAGTTGTCAAAGTGTTAACATGATTTCTTTGGCCTGCATGATGGGCATGCTTTGGATTTAAATGATAAAATAGGGTTTACAAAATTGCTGTGTCTGCAATTGGTTTATTGCTTCAGCAGTGTGGTCTCCCAGTGAATTGATTTTGCAAGTGTAACTGTTATGCAGCCCAAGATGGTTACTGAAGCAAGAAGTGCCAAAGATTGTCAAATCTATAAACAGGCAATTGCGTGAGAAATCTATCAAGACCAAGGTAACTGCTGATATGTGTCGAGGATTAAGAGTTGCATGCTCAAAAAACTGCATGTGATCTCATAGATAAATCATGCCACACCTTGCATAATACAAATGAAATGCATTACCTTTGTCTGCCTACAGGTTGGTGCATTTTCAGTTCTGAAAGAACTTGTGGTTGTCTTGCCAGACTGCCTTGCAGAACACATTGGGTCACTAATTCCAGGAATTGAGAAGGCATTAAATGTATGTGAATTTTGTCTCAAGTCAGATGTGTCATTGTTGCTTAATTTTTTGCATTACACGGTTCATTGTTGCTTAATTGATGCAAATTTTCCTGTGCAATATTTCTCAGGACAAATCTTCGACCTCAAATTTGAAGATTGAGGCTCTTATATTTACAAAATTGGTATTGGCTTCACATTCACCCTCTGTTTTCCACCTTTATATCAAGGTAATCAGTGGTTTTATTCTGGAATCAATACCTCTTATTTTACTGTTCTTAATAGTGAAGTATTCTTTAGTTCATATTTAATCTTTTTTCTTGCATTTTCTCTCATGCAATGCTCTATTGGCCATAAATTTAAAATGTCAAAAGAAAATATGTTCAGCCATTCTTTTTTTGTGTTTTGAATTATGCATCATTGCTTGAGGATATATGATTTTTTGTTTTGTGGTTAAGCTCTGGAAAACCTTTGTTGGCAATGCTATGTTGTGAAGATCTTTTCTTTCTTCTTTTAATAGGATTCATTGGGTAATGGTTGGTCCCTCTGAAAATGACAACATGATTAGGATTGATGTAATTATTCATCATCTTCAAGATGGGTTTTAATTATTGAGGAAATTGAGGTTTTTCATTCACTTTTTTTAATAATAAAAAAAAGAGTGTTGTCATGCAATTTCCTTGATCAATTATTTATTACTGACCCTTGGTCTGTGCTGTGAATGCATGTACAATTTTTTTATACATTACTGTTTGTACTCCTTTGAACTGGTAACTTCTTTCCTGTGTTGTGATTATTTTCAATTATGAATGGAACAGCAGTCATGACTCCTGAGCGGTAATACATATACTGGGATTTACACTGCTTGTTATTGCAGGCCCTTTCTAGTCCTGTTTTGTCTGCTGTTGGTGAGAGATACTACAAGGTCACAGCAGAGGCATTAAGAGTCTGTGGGGAACTTGTTCGCGTTGTCCGTCCCAATATCCAGGTTAGATTGTTTATATACTATGTTGTCTTTTAAGATTTTGTTAACTATTTCTGATAATTTAATTGGCGTTCTGATGTAGGGCTTTGGTTTTGACTTCAGACCTTATGTCCATCCAATATATAATGCCATAATGTCACGTTTGACCAACCAAGATCAAGATCAGGTCTGTAGAGTATCTAGAGTTGATTCTATAGTTTTTCTCATGCTGAAAATCATTTATCTTTTCTGAATTTTTTTTTCTAATGCGGCATATTTCTTCTATCTAGGAGGTCAAGGAGTGTGCCATTTCTTGCATGGGGCTTGTCATTTCAACATTTGGTGATAACCTCAAAGCAGAATTACCTATGTGTCTCCCTGTACTTGTTGATCGTATGGGGAATGAGATAACACGACTTACTGCTGTGAAGGTCAGTGTTATGTAAATTGCTATATGGATGTTAATATGCCTTGGGTTGTTTTTGCACCAATTATGTGTGTGGTAACAATAGTTAGGCTTTCTCATCTGAAGTTATAATGTATCTCCTTGATCACTATGATGCATAAGTATGCAAGCCATTTTGAATTTCTGAATCCAGGCTTTTTCTGTAATTGCTGCTTCTCCTCTTCTCATTGATCTGTCTTGTGTCCTGGAGAATGTAATTGCAGAGCTGACTGCATTCCTACGCAAGGTATGAAAAATGGTTTACTTCAGAATATGCGTACTAATTTGTTGGATTATGATTTGTAGATAGTCTAATGTGCATTTGAGTGTTGTGTATAAATTCTGAATTCTGCTTTGTTGTTTGGGAACATAGGCTAATCGGGCTTTAAGGCAGGCAACTTTGGCGACACTGAATTCTCTAATTGTAGCTTATGGTGATCAAATTGGTTCATCTGCTTATGAAGTTATTATCGTGGAACTTTCAACTCTGATTAGGTTTTCCACGCCTTTTGATGTTATGCTTTCGAGTGAGGAATGGTTGTTGGCTGTGATTACATCTGAAAATGCTAATTCTCTTGTTTTTCCATTGTCTCAGTGATTCAGATTTGCACATGGCAGCTCTTGCTCTGGAACTTTGCTGCACCTTAATGACTGACAGGAAATCGAGCCCCAACGTTGGTTTGGCTGTTAGAAATAAAGTTCTTCCTCAGGCACTAACATTAATTAAAAGCCCATTGCTACAGGGTCAAGCCCTTTTGGTAACACTCTCTTCCAATACCAAACATTACTTGTGGTCCAGATCAATGCTTGGTTTAAAATTTTTCCTGCTTGATATTGCAGGCTTTACGAAACTTTTTTGCTGCTTTAGTCAACTCTGCAAATACAAGTTTTGACACTTTATTGGACTCGCTCCTTTCACGTGCTAAGCCATCTCCACAGTCAGGTGTTGCAAAACAGGCTTTACATTCGATAGCCCAATGCGTGGCTGTTCTCTGCCTTGCCGCTGGTGACAAAAAATGTTCATCTACTGTGGACATGCTTACTGATATTCTTAAAGATGACAGTAGTACGAATTCAGTAAGTTTGGCACACAAGTAAAATTTTGTAACAAGAATGCTCTTGGCATTGATGATACCCTTTTCCATGGCAATAGTTGAATTGTGCATTTCACAGCTTTTATTTTCTTTTTTAGGCGAAGCAGCACCTTGCACTATTATGCCTGGGAGAAATTGGGAGAAGGAAAGATCTAAGCATGCATGCAAATATAGAAACCATTATTATTGAGTCCTTCCAATCCCCTTTTGAAGAAATAAAGTCTGCTGCTTCCTATGCTCTTGGTAATATTGCCGTTGGTAATCTTTCCAAGTACCTACCCTTTATCTTGGACCAGATTGATAATCAACAGAAGAAACAATATCTCCTGCTTCATTCTTTGAAGGAGGTTTGTTTTTTATTCTTAAATCTACTTCAAACTGAAGGTTATTTTTAAAATAAATCTGTCTCCTCTAACCTCCTGAGTATGCAGGTTATAGTAAGACAATCAGTAGATAAAGCAGAGTTCGAGGATTCCAGTGTTGAGAAGATACTTAAATTACTATTTAATCACTGTGAAAGTGATGAAGAGGGTGTTCGGAATGTTGTAGCCGAGTGCCTTGGTAAAATTGCACTTATTGAACCTGCAAAGCTCGTTCCTGCGCTTAAGGTTTCTAATCATCAAATCAAATGGCATTCAGAGTTTCATTTAAGTTTGTTCTTAGTTTTTGTGGCTCCAAAGGCTTGTGTTTTACTTTAAATTTTAAATTCCTTACAGATGAGAACAACGAGCCCAGCTGCCTTCACCAGAGCAACAGTGGTAATTGCTGTAAAATACTCAATAGTTGAGCGGCCAGAGAAGATTGATGATATTTTATACCCGGAAATCTCATCATTTCTTATGCTGATCAAAGATCATGACCGGGTAAGTTGCAGATATATATTTGCTCTAATTAATAAACAGAGTGTTTGCACGTGGTGGCCTGCTTGGTTTTTGAACCTGATGGTTGTTCTTAAATATGACATGCAGCATGTTAGGCGTGCAGCTGTCTTGGCCTTAAGCACATTCGCTCACAATAAGCCTAACCTTATCAAGGGACTCCTTCCTGAATTATTGCCACTTCTCTATGATCAAACAATTGTTAAGGTAATTGAAAAGTTGGCCTTTTCTGAGCTAATGATGCAACTTCCATATACTGCCTATCTAAATACAGTGTAAGTAGGGGATTATTGCTTGAACTTTTTAACCTGTCCTGTCTTTTACAATGTTTGGTCTTTATCCCATTGATTTATATATGCTTTAGCATAGTGCTGAGAAGTCATGCACCGCTTATGATTCCAGTGCTCTGGTAATCTTATAATTCTTATTTGTTTTTAATCTTTTGCTTCTAATTTATATATTGCACTGCTGAGGGTTTGTATCAGTTAGTCTTTGTATTGAAAATTTGAAATAGTTATTTGAATCCATCTCTATAATGTCCATGCTGGCAGCATATGTGTGAGCCAAATCATTGTTTTACTTGAAAGAAAGGCATTTTGCATTCAGCCTAGGATTATACATACTAGGTTGTGTGATGAATATTGACTCCATTGTACTTTCATATAATAGTAGATTGAGATGAACTGGTAAAAAGGACATATATTCTCTTGTAATTCCATTGTACTTCCATAGGATGATTGATTGAGATGAACCTTGATCAGCTAAATGGCATATATTCTCGAGTCCTAGAAATATTGATTTTAGGTATGCTTAGTTATTCAAGTTACTATAAATATATTTTAAGGAGCTTAAACATACCGCATCATAACTGCAAGATAATACTTGTTAAAAAAAGATTTGGTTTGATTCCTAACAGCTTAAGCTATTATAATAATATGATGATTATATTAATGATGAATGAAAGATAACCAAAAACAATAAAAAAGCATAAGTGAGTAAAAGCTTGAGGCAATATATATGTTGCTATCAATGAGAAACAACGAATAAGGGGATGCAAAAGTCCCTATCAATGAGAAACAACGAATAAGGGGAGTAAATTGACCTTTCAGGATGAAAGGATTCTCTGTTGCTAGGGCAGGTTATGCTGTTCTATCCATTTCGCCAATTATAGAAGGCTTGAACTGATGGAATTGTCCTTGAAGTCATTTTTTGTGCTTTTGTGCAGAATGATTGACAACTGGGCTTTATAAGTAAATGGATTGTATCATAAAATTGTTAATGCATTTCCGTTGTTATCCTTTGTGTTCCCTGTTTCTTGCCTTTTATACTATGTTTTGTGGATGCCTGGCTGTTTTCTGTACTTTAGTAACAACAATTGAGCCATGCTGTAACCCCCCAGCTTCAACAGTTGAGTTTTTTGCGAGTTATGCAACTGATTTTTAAAATAATGGCGGCTATGTGAGACTTTCAAGGGCCCATTATATTGCATCCTACTTTTCCTATGAGGTGTAGCATTTTGGACGTGTTGCTGCTGTAACAGCTGTTATATCTCATAACAATGTAGCTGTTAGACTTAAAAATGTCATTAGCTCATGTTTTTGCAACACGTTGTTGAAATCTCATAGTTTGTGCTGTGTACATTGAAGACTATAGTATTGCAATTTTATAGTCTTACATTATTAGATTTTTCAATTTGCAACATTATTTGGGTTTCTAACAATTTGCATATGATTGTAACTGCTATTTAAAAAACATAATGTTTCTGTTATTTGGGTTTCTCTATTAGATGTTGAAGTTATATTCTCCAATGTTTATGTTATTTTGTCTTCCTGTTGGTCTTGCTTGCATTTTTGTACAGTATCACCCATATTATATCCTTGCAGGATTTTCTGATTTTAAATCTTGCTTACTGCAGCAAGAATTGATACGAACTGTAGATCTTGGGCCTTTCAAGCATATTGTGGATGATGGCCTTGAGTTGAGGAAAGCAGCTTTTGAATGTGTAGACACATTGCTGGATGGTTGTCTTGATCAAGTGAACCCTTCATCTTTCATTGTTCCTTACCTCAAATCAGGCCTGGATGGTCGTATTCAATATCCTTCTCACCAAGCGCAATTATTGTTTAGTTGTTTAATTTTGTTGCTCGTTCAGTTTGGTTTTATGCATGAAAGTAATGTCGAGGGATGCAACCTAGCAAAAAGACATATAGGAATTATATTAATTTATTTCTTAAATTCTAATATCTTTTTACCTTTTTTTCTCCATAAAATCTATTTTTATAGGATTCTATCTATCTTAGCCATCTTAATTGTTTTCTGGATTATAATTTGTCTATAACTAATAATATTAATCAGGAGTTTTCAATTTTTATGATTTCTTTTTCCTATATTCATTTATTTTTTAGAAAACTAATCTTTTTCAGACTTAAGAGACAAATGAATTAATTGCTAAATCTCTCTCTTTAGCTGCATCATTGGATGACAGCATTTCGAACATGTTTTGGGTTTTTTCTAACCAGGAAAGAAACATTCAGTTTGCAGCATCCATTTGCATCATAACTAAGGATAAAATCCATATATATATGAAATTTCTTTTTCCAAAATACTACTTTTGAGAAGAATACTACACCTTCATTTCTTTATTTTTCTAACTATCCTGCAATAGGATTGTTTCTTTGGTTCTTCATTACAATGGCTTGATTAATTTCAAATCATTATTCAATAATCAATAGCTAGATCTAGTTAGCTAATGGCATCTATGAAGATTGGAGTATAAAATGATTGTTATTGTTGATGTTATCAACTATTGGCTGACTTGTCTGTTTTGGATGTTCCAGATCATTATGATGTTAAAATGCCTTGTCATCTTATCCTCTCAAAATTGGCCGATAAGTGTCCATCTGCTGTATTGGCAGGTCAGTGAGTTAATCATCCAACTTTAGTCTTTTGGGTTTCTTTGTGCTACAGATTTTCTGATCTCTGTATTCCGCACTTCAGTGTTGGACTCATTGGTGGAGCCCCTCCAAAAAACTGTCAATTTTAAGCCTAAGCTAGATGCTGTAAAGCAAGAAGTGGATCGTAATGAAGACATGATTCGCAGTGCTCTTCGAGCAATCGCATCCTTGAATCGAACAAGGTTTGTAAATTTTATACTGAATAAATTTCAGGTTTTTATTTCTGGCATAATAATGGAAACACAAAATGAGCTGAATGACATCCTGTCTTTTGTTGGTGCATGATCATTGATTTTTTACATTTCAGCGGAGGAGATTGCAGCCTTAAATTCAAAAACCTTATGAGTGAAATTTCAAAATCTCCAACCCTTTGGGACAAGTATTATTCCATCCGAAATGAGTGAACATGTTGATTCCTTGCTATCCAGTGGTTTGTATTGAAGCTCACGCTGGGGGATGAGAAAACGTTTGATGCCTGCAGTCCAAGCCCTTCTGGGGTTAAATGAAAATGACGAAGTTATAGGTGAGTTGGATGTATAATGGAGGTTGCAGGTTTTGTAGAATATTGGTCGAGTCACATTTTCGATACCCCAGCATACAAAAAAAAAACAAAAAAGAAAAGAAGGAAAACTGTAATGGGTTTTTTTAATGTATAGGGTGTCAAATTAGTTCTTCCCTTGCCTTTAAAATTAGCCCAGCGTTGAGGGTCAAAAATGAATGAAAATGTTGTCTTTTCCCATTTGAAGCCATTGAGGGGGGTGCACAATTAGTTGTACTTGGTAAGTGATATGGTTGATAGAATCTGGATTAAATCTTTGAAATGGAGGCTCGACCCTTTTTGCCTCGCTAATGTTTGCTTGAGGGAAAGAAAAAAAAGAACTTTTATTAGTAATTTTTATGTTTCTTTTCATTAGGGACCCTAGGGTTATTTCATTAAACATTCAATTAAGTATTGGTAGTTTTTATGTTTCTTTTCATTAGGGACACTAGGGTTATTTCATTAAACATGCAATTAAGTATAAAGCTAGAATATGTGGGGGCTGAATTGAAATTGAAATGGTTGATTTTTACAACAAATTTAATTTGTTTCTGTAACTTTTTTCGTGGCACAATTGAGTGTTTTTTAGTCTAAATTTAAATCTAATTGTATTTGTTTTTGGGAAGGGTTGAATTAAAAGTTGACAGTTCTTAATTTGAATTTCATATAGAAAGTAACATGGGTGGTGGTATTCAATTTCATATAAAAAATTTATTTTAATTGTAAAAGTTAATTTTTTTAATAACAATAATCTGCAAAAATTTTAGTAGTCATCTATATAAAGAAATTTCAGGTTATGGATTTTTTCTTTGTTACATTTCTATTTATATTTTTCATATTTGATTTAATTATCTTGGATCTCAAACCATATTAATAATACTTATTATGTAAACGCCTATCAAAAACATTTTTTAAATACCCGTTGGTACAAATTTATAGAACAATTTTGGGATATCAAAATTATAGTAGGATAAAATGAAATAAAAAAAATGAATATAATAACATGAAAATAGTCAAATTGTTTTTGTTGCTGTCCTTGTTAAAATCTCATGGTGCAACCAAGAAAGGAAAATAGTGTTTTATCTTCTTTTTTCTTCATTTCACCATTAAAAGGGTTACGAGGAATGATAAATAGGAGTGAAAACTTCCACACTAGAAATTAATAAAGATCAAAGAGAGGGTAGATTGTGTTAGAGGAGAATGTAAGAAAAGAGAGGAAAATGTGGAGGAAAGTGGAAAATTTTGACTGCTAGGGATTTAAAGACTAGGTTATCGTTTAGTAAGGAGTTCTAAACTTAATGGGTAACAATTAAGGTGGAATTAATGAAATTAATGCTATGGTTTATGGTGGAAATTCGAGGGAAATAGAAATTGTCTATAAATTGAATCAATTAAATTATAGGTTGTGTTGGATGTGAAATTAGGTAAAAATGATGAAAAAAATCATGAGATCCTTAAGGGTTCATTGACCAACCGATGAAGGACCAAATTATATGCAACAGATTTATATATAGTTAAGTGAAATTGTGTACGAGGAAAGTGATTTTGAAAGAATTTAGTTACAAATTAAAATGAGATTGAAAAACAATAGTGTTGAGAATTTAGGGAGGATTTGTGTTTTGAAATGTAAGGAAATATCGGGTAATATTGGACTTTTCATGTAAGAGAGAATTGATTAAAAATATCATGAATGAATTATGATAAAAGAAGAGGTTGTCATGTTAGTCAAAGAAAAAATAATTGAAAGAGAAATATGATGATAATTGCAGTATATAAAACGTAGTGTAATTATGAATGTCATTGGTTCATGTCTTTCATGAAGTGGTTTTGGTTATTTTAGATATAATATAAATGAGATTGATGAAGGTTGAAATATATATATATAGTTGTTTGAATAATGAGAAGATGAATGGAATATTTTGTTGTTCGTGTAATTTATAGATAAAAATTTAAGAGGTGTCAAGATGAGAATAGTATTGGATAGTTTTGCCGAGTTGCAGTACCAATTAAATTAGGTGTGTTAAATGCTAAATTAAGCCTTTCCTCTTTTAGTTTAAATGTAGTTTGGCCATCGGAGAAGATAAGTTATAATCAAAACTATATTTTTATGATTATAATTGTGATGTAAATAAGAGATGGTATCCTAGAATGAATAGTCTAAATTGTTAGCTTCTACCTTGTTTTAAAAGTTGTTTTGATGTTAGACTTAATATGGTTGATAATATAAGAAATAAATTTGAATTTGTGTGTGTGTGTGTGTGTGAAATGAGCATGTCATGAAACAATAATGTGGAATAGCTTTTAATACAGGAGAGGCAGTGAAAGCTATGCAGCAATAGATAGGTTCTACTCGAGCTCTACAGTAGGTAGGTATCATAGACCTTAATATTTTCTTACTTAGTTTATCGAAATAATTTATTGAAAATATAATGTTATGTTAAAATTGTGGTTATGAGCTAATGAATTAGTTTCCTATTAATGAGATTAACGCCCAATATAGGCAAAGTAATTAGTTTCTTGATATTGAGACTAATGCCTAGTAATAGGAAATGAATTTGGATTTCTAAAAGAGGAAATAATGCTTGATAATAGGTGATGAATTTGGATTCCTAAAATAAAGAATAATGTTCAAAAATAACGTCTGGACATAGACAAATGAAAAAGTTACCTTGTATTTGGTATTAACTTGAAAGACTAGATTTTAGAAAACTAATATCTGTTAAGGGGAATAAGCTGATGATAATCATGCAATTTTGATGTGGTGAACGAATATTGTAATATGATGAATGAATTCTATTGACTATTAATAAGAAATTATTGATAATGTTAAGTTTACAATCTAAATTTATTGTTATGACTGTTATGTTTGTTTGATAATCTATATGTTGTAAAATTAATTATTATTTATAAAGTAATATCAGGTACCTCATAGCCATTAACCAAATGACAGATAATTAAGATGTTTTTTTTTTTATTATATATAATTTTGAATGAACATGTAATAGATGCTCTTTTTTTTTTTAAACTATAATGGGTTAGGTAATTAAATGTTACTTATCTTGAAGATTTTGTAATTTGAATTCAATATCTTACATGAACTCAAGATATCTCATTAGTTTCTTTTTATTATGTCACAAACATTAGTATTGTGATTATGTTTCACTAATTTTAGATAATTTGAGTATTTGTGTGTGTGTAGAGTGAACTATAATGAAATGTAATAGATGGAATGGTTTGATTTTGTGATGTGATGATTCAGGATGATTGAATAATCAATAATATATGAAATGGTTGAGTATTGAAGTATAATAGGTTTCTAGTCGATAACTTGTAACCTCTTGGTACAAAGGAGCCTTTGCTAAAATTGTAGTAGGTTTTCTAATTTAAGATTTCTTAAATAATAATAATAATAATAATAATAATAATAATAATTTCACCCTAAAATTTGTAATATTCATAAGATACCAAATTGTGAATGCATGTGATTATGGAGGATTTTGCACATTATATCACCAAAGTCCTTGGGAATTCACTCATAAATAATTATGTAATATAAGGAAAATAAAAACTAAAGCATATGCATATTAACTCATAGATATATCATCATCGAGAGATTTATTTGTATCTATACATCAGAATTTACAAATTTAGTATTGTGATTACAAAATCAAGTAAAAATATATTCAATCCTAAATTTAGGCATCTTATACCTAATCTATGATCACAAAAGTAAAATAGAATAAGGACTACTTCTTATACAAATGAGATGTCCCTAAAATATACTAGTCATTATGAGTAATGAAATAACTATAAATAATAGCTATTACATTGAAAAATATCATAATGTTCTTTTTTAATCGACTCTTCAAGAACAATTTACCAAGAGTATGCTAATGTCAAGTTACTAGTATTATCTACTATCTTTCCTTAGATAGCTAACTCATATTTTATAAATATGTCAATATCAAGACATCCTCTTGATATCATTAGCTTTTTCTAATTTTTGTAACTAATCAAATACATTTTCTTCTCTCAAATCCATTGGGGGGTTATGATGATATTAATAAATTTTGTTAGCATTATTAGCCTTCCCAACCCTTGATCAACTAATTAGAATCGAAGTAACGTTAACATCAATTAAATCCATCAATATCATTAGTTACTTGAATTTAGAGATGCTAATCAAGTCCTTTCAAATACTTTAATTTATCCATTGAAAATGATGGTGTCAAGAATCCCTTGACATCATTAACCTCCACTTATAAGAGTAGTTAATCAAGTTTCATGTAATACTGATATTAATGTAATTCATCGATGTCATTAGCTATCTAAATCTAGAGTAGTTAATCAAGTCCTTTTGGATACTTCAATTTTTCCATTAGTAATGTCAATGTTAAGAATCCCTTAACATCATTATCCTCCATTTACAGGAGTAGCTAATTAAGTTTCATGTAATATCGATATCAATATAATCCATTGATATCATTAATTATCTAAACCCAAAGTAGTTAATCAAGTCTTTTTAGATACTTTAATTTGTTGATGTCAAGAATCTCTTAACATTATTATCCTCCATTTACAGGAGTAGCTAATCAGGTTGTTCATCTTTATTCTTTCTTACCCACTATTATTCATTTGTTCATGTGTTTCACATATCGATACGAAGATAAAATGGGTAAAGTTTACTAATGTGAAAAGTGCAATACTTTAACAAATTATAGGTGTTAGACACCTACCTGTTGTGTTTGAAGTCCCCGCTCCAGCTCAAGTCAGTGGTCTTACTGTTAAAGCATTCCTTGTAAATCAATTTACCCATTGATTAACACTACTATTTATAAATTCAAAAATCATATTTACATTCTAATATAATAACTTTTCATTCAAGACATATTCTATATCATAGGTTTAATCACCCTTACTTTTTTTAGATTATGTAGTTCCCAACTTAATCATAATAATATTCAAACGAGAGATTTATGATTGTCAAGAAGAGCTTCACATCATTTAACTTTTTGTTATATTAATATTTATCAATTTTAAATTATCATTTCAATATTAAAACATAACTAAACATATTATTCTTATAACTTCATTTTAGGTTCTTTATTAAGAACTTTTCTTAGTGAAATTTTGAAATCATACATGGTCATCCTATCAAGTCTTTATCATTATCCCATTAACTTTATATTCTAATTAGGTTGTACAACATCTCTTGACACAATTGTCATGCAAATTAAAATATAAAATAACTCCAACTCTCTCTTAATCAAGCAATGTAGTAAAACAATCTAACAGTTTTAAGAAATGGTTCGACTATTTCTTTAAATTGGTCTAGTCATTTTTCTATATA